TATTATATTATATATATATAATAGCTTATATAAATCAAATTCACAAACCAAAAGTGGTTCAGGCTTTGGGAAAAAAGTTAACATAATTGCTGTGGGTCTATATGTATAGCTCTAACTTGAACTGCATTCAAATGCCCAGGCAGGAACTACGAACACATCTTGATACAGTAAATAATCTCTTGATATAGGGTCTAATTATACAGTAATACTTCTTTCCTGAAGTGATAACTTTATGTGAGTCAAGAACACTCAGCATTTCACAATAAATACTTGCTATTTTGCAAGATCAGGCATCATAAAGTTCTCCAGGAGAGGAAGCATATTTCTCCTTTTTTATTTTTTTAAACTGTTAAAAAAGAAAAAGAACCCCCAAAACAAACAAAAAAACCAACCCTGAATTCGGTCTGAGTGATAACTGTGACTTGCTGGTTCTGCTGCAAACAGTATCCTCCTCCAAACAGTTCAAAGAGGAGGCTGTAGTAAGGTTTCGTAACCCCAATAACTACAGAAGTCATAATGCACTGCTAGCATATAAGTGTAAAATACAGAGAACAAATGATATGTGATAAATATAGATTTAAAAATACATTTAGCACTTGTTTTTTCAATCCATTATTGCTGTTTCTTTTCAGCAAAATCTGAATTATTTTCACCTGGCACACACTGGGAACATCCAGCTGCATCACCACCAACATAGTGTGACCTGGAAACATACTCCCTTTGCAGCTTTAGGTTATAGCAGCCTTAGCTGCTCAGTGCTTCCAGTAAACAGAGGTTCAAACATTCAGGCACTAGGAAGGCAAAGTCACAACAGGAACTCATCTACCAGTTGCAGCTAGCACTGCAGGAATCCAGAGCCCACTTTCCAGCAGGATTAAACCACAACTCTACAGGGCCTATCCCAGTGACCAGCTTCTCTCGATCAGACAAACAGCTTGGTAAGGAATGAGTTCTTATCATACACTCTCACAGAGCACCAGCCTTCCAGAGGCGTATGTCAAGGGAAGAACAGTAGAGAGTGGCATATGGTTACGCAAACACAAGTTAAATTAGGTTGTCCCTTGGATGTTGCTTACGGCCATCATTCCACATCTCCAACCCTCTAACTTGTATTTGGTCGTGCTTAACTGGCTCTAGCTGGCATTACTGGAAGAAGCTGGCTACAGCTTGGTACTACTCACACACTGTCTTGGCAGGCAGCATCCAGATAAATCAGTGTTTGCTAATGCTTCTCAAAATTTCCCCGAGACCTACAGGACATTCTCCCACAACCTATTTGAAGAAACCAAGGCTCACTCCAATTGCTGCCTCACAGAGAACCATCTCTGTACACACAGAAGTCCTAATAACACTCTTGGGGCAGGTGGGATCACCATTAACCGAGCACAGGTTCTCCAAATGGCTGTTCAAACACTGACCAAATCAATGTTAGCATTGATTAGCTGACTTAGCACTGAATCAACAATGGCACCCTGCTGCTTATTGTACCAGACTTGTTATAGAAGTAACTCTCTGGTTTACTAATCTTTTGCTTACTTATTTCTTATCCTGTATCATCGTTTTAGAGATACAGAAAAGGTTCCTGAACACTCAAGTGCAGGCCCTAACTTTTCACAATAACACGAAGTTATATAGTCCTCCTGCTTATACTTTGTGCACAAGATCTTTAATCTTTGTATCTTAACCATAGTTCGTATCGTGCCTACCTACATGCCTTCCTGGTAGATGCAGTTGCCCAAGTCTTTTCAAATACTCTTGAGACCCTTTTCTCAGTCTTACCCCATGAGGCACCTTCTGCTGTTGCTTATGGTCATGCCAGCCCGGGCTTCCTACTTTCTAGCTGAAGAGCTACTACCTATGAGCAGCGAGGGGGAGTTGTTTTGACAGGAACCACGTTGTTCTTACCTTAGCTCTCCCAGTGCTCTGAAGAATGTGCACCAAAGCACAAGCCATCTCTTCCTTGTTCCTTACGCTGATCACAGGTTCTAGCACAGAGCATAGCATAGTGTAGTTGCTGGTAACAAACTCTGCAAATTCTTTGTATTGCTCCATGGGCAAGATGGTGATGGTCTGATAACGGGACTTTATCCGAATGGAAGGTCCCCCTGATTTCCCTTTGTTGGGTGTAGGTGTGCTGACTGGGTACCATTTTTCCACAAACTGGCGACCGGTTACACTGGCCATGGGAATATTGACCAGGCCTACATAATTGTTCTTGTCCTTTTTCTTCTTCTTCTCCACATCCTTGTAGATGTGAACTGTGATGCTGTGAAGAGGCGGGAGACCATAGAACTCAAAGTGCTCTCCCCAGAAAATGTTATCTGCTTTCGTTTTGCTGGTGGTGCGGGCAAAGAGAGTGTCATCAAGGCACAGCTCACAGAAGTATTTCTTCTTGGGGGCCAGGTCCTTTGCCTCAATGATCCAGAGACGGAGCACATTTTCAGCTCGACGGCAGTTGTCCTATGCAGAAGAAAGAGCTCAGCTTTGCTTCAAAATCCCTGAAAATTGCATATTTTGTCTTCTAAAGCAGCAGCAAAGGGCTGCCTTTTGTGTCCAAGGTAGGGACAGAGTCAGAATTCAGAATCAGATTCTTTGATCTTCAGAGAATCAGAATCTCTAGAAAATCAGACATTTTCTAAAATACAGGCAAATGGCTGCCTTTTGTATGTCAAAGGTGGGGACTATAACATTTTTCTTATCAAAAAGCTGCATTTGAAATGCTTTAGAAAACAAACATTCTGCACACGAGCCCCTCAAAAGCTGCTAGACTTGTGTGGCACACTGCATTGTTTTTCCACTCTTGTAACTCCAAGAGCACTGTTAGCCTGTCCCTCAAAGGTGGTATGCCAACTATGGAGGTGACTTCTCAGATATTTTCAGCTGATCAATAACTTGATGCCCCCTTCTCACTCTGGCTCAAATTCCTTTTGGTATTTCCCCCCCAAACTGTACTCCCACAGTAAAACATGAAACCTATGAAGCCATGTCCCATCCTTCTGAGGTCCACTGTATCAGAAGTCCAGTCTGAAACATCCTAAGCAGGTACTGGGGCAGGGATCAGGAAGCACGCCAACACGTATTTAATCATTAAAGGTTTGACCTACTGCACTCGCTAGAATAGTACACAGCAGCTTCTCATACACTAATCAGCAGACATCTCCCCAGACTAAATTAATTGAGGATGCATCTGTGGGAAGAGCTGGTACACTGGACTAAAATCCAATCATACCACCTCCATTCCCCCAGTAATCTTATCTCCACAGTTTCTATTACCTTATTTGGCTGCACTGTTCTGCGTAGGTTTTCCATCCACTTGTCCCTCTCTGCTGCAGAGGAACAACTGAAGCATTTACTGCCACTGGAGTAGGTTACCTGGAACGTATAAACAACAGGCTGAGTTCAGGCAAGCCTAGGAGACACGTAAGAGGCTGCAAAAAGCAAGGAAGAAGATAAGCAATGCTTGAGCAACAAAGTAAATATGAAAAAGGCAGGAAAACAATATGGAAGCCTAAAAGGCAGAGAGGTTAAGAGGCCCACAAAACGTAGAGAGAGAGAAAAAAGTCAGTTCAAATTAATATAAAACTAAAGAAACACAAGGAGCACCAGAGGCTCCTCTTAAAGACTTAAACAAGGCTTTAATCAACCACTTGTTAATTGATACATAGCTATTAAACGCTTGCAGTTTTCCCCGTTAAGTCCCAGAGGCAGATGATTTGGTTACTAACAGCGTAAAGACAGACAGAACTAACAACGTATTAACATAAGGCAAAACACACCAGAAATGGTGTCTTCAGTAAATCCAAAATATTTCAAGGGTTCATATATAGAGCAATGGTCTAAAACAAACCCGAAGGAGTTGTGCTCTGATCTGGCCCTGACACTCGGTGCCATACACTGCTTTCATGCAGGAGGGAATCACCTTGGTTTTTTTCACTTTCACATGGCCTGACAAGCTTCATTTACTCTTTCCATTCATTTGTGCACACAATTAAAAAGCGGTTTAAGGCAACAGCCTCAGAGCCAAGTCGTTGCCAATTTTTTCACTCAACTCCCCAAACCTAAGCAAGCTGGAAAGTGCTTCCAACCAGAAGAATGAGACTGAAGTGAACAGGAACAGCTGCTGGATATATCCCGAAGGAGCAGGGCCTGATGTGCGGGTTTTCTGCCGGAGCAGTTTTCCAGGTTGCAAACAGATCTTTGTTCCAGAAGTTTAGACACATCTGACTAATACTGCTGAAGACAGACTGTCACCTGCCCCTGCCACGGCCGATTACGATGGCCTTAGATGCATCCAAACAGCACACACAAATAGGCTGCTGGTCCTGCAAGGTAAGGACTGTGCTCACGCAAACAGCCTGTTTCTGAAGCAAAGCTAGGAGCCACGTAGTGCTGTGCTGCAGCCTGTGCTGAAACAGCAAGAGGGTCTTTGCATCCTGCTCTGTGGTGCAATGGACACATCCCTACTTACCGAGGCTTCTCCTTTAGCAACTGGAGAGTGGGCTGAGCTAATGGGAGGGGGCTCTGACTGGAAATCACATTTCTGAGTTACGGTATATTTTCTAAATTTAATTGTAGGTGAATTTGGAGAGGATGAATACACAGCTTATGAACTATAGTATGTTTCAACCATACATTTGCATGCAAACTACAAATGCTTAGATATTTATCAAATTAAAGAGATTTTTCAATCAGAAGACGTGGTAATTGCAAAAGATTTCTCTCCACTGAGTGATTGATGCCATTAGCCTCAAGGACTTTGAAATCGCATGCTGGTTAGACAGCCCCCACCCGAACCTCAGGATAGCAGCGGCTGCTGATCCGTTCTCCAATTACAAAGTCACAGAACAGCGTACTGCAAGGGTTCAGACCGACTGACAGCATATAATCGGCTGCGTGTACAGAGAGCGATCTTTACCTCAAAACAGAAGTCTTGTCCAAGGATACTGCTGTGAAGTGGTTTGACAAAGACTTTTTCTTCTGACCCAAGATCCAGGGCCTCCACGGCGCTGCCTGGGCTCAGTAAAGACTCATGGGAACGGGACTCCTTCAGCTTTGGCAATCCACGTGACCTGTAGGAGAGCAAGGGGGAAAGGAAACATTTTTCTCACAATTACTAAAAGACTTGGCGAGATCCCAGAGAAAGCTGCACCTTGGTGTTTATTCAGAACTTCTACAATTAGTCTGTAAACCTTATGAAAATAACATTAGGCTGGTAATCCCAGACTCCTAAGGAAATATCCACCTACACAAGCCCAGGAAGTCCATTCCCACTGACCTAGAAATTGTAGGTGCTGAGCCATCAGTGAAAGAACAGCAAACCAAAAATCTCAGAACTGAACTGCTGAAATTTAAAGAAGCCCCATAGATAGGTTTGGATATATTACTCAAAATATTTACTACTATCTAGATGCCTAGATAAATGTTGTGTATTAACAGCAAAAAGCACACCAATCTCTAAATTTCTAAGCCAATGCAGAATGATAGCTACTGTCATTAGAGCCGATGATCCCCCTTGCAATACACTTGATTTTTCTTAACATACAAAGCCTTTACACTAAAGTCAAAGATGCACATTATTTCCCACATCACAATGCTTAAGTCAGTTACCTACATTAAAGTTTTGCATTTTTTTCTTCAGCTGCTTCTTCCAGTTTTAACAGTTTCCAATTTTTTTGATATGTCCCTTCTCTTTTAACTTCCCCTCACTAACACATACTGCTTCTCTTTTTCAGTTGACTGTCCTGTAAATCCCTTAGCTCTACCAGAGCTGGCTGGCATCTCCCACATTCACAGTACCTTTTTATCAAGGCAGTCTTCTCTTTGTTCCCACCAGTTCTTGAATACTTCTCAAAGACATATCCCTCCCTCCACTATGCCGTAGCTTTTTGCAATCAACAGCAACATCATAAAATGTGATCTAACACTTTCTGTATTCTTCCGATTTGATTTAATGTGACATTTGTGCGTAGCAGGGAGTTCTGCTGTCAAATAGCACTGTAAAACATGCACATTTTATAGGTGACAATGGCTTCACCTGTACTCCTTCTAACTCCGAGCTGACACCTGGACTATAAGCTTCTGCAATACAGTCATATGATACTTCAGAAACTAGTAGAAACTAGCATTTCTACTTCAAAACGTAACACTATGTGCACACACATTTTTCCTCTAGTTGGAACTCAGTCAAAGCTTTCACAGATGACCAACAAGGAGGAAGAGCACCGAGTCCCGACTTAGCAGAAAAGGAGCTGTTTATCTGGCAGGTCGAGATTTTGTTAAGATGTTGAAGCTCATGCTGGTCCCTATGCCTGTCCAGTGACCCATGGAAGTGTGTCCATAAATATGGCTGCACATCCAGCAAGTGTGACCGAGCACAAAGAACAGATGTGAAAGCAGAAAGGCATCAGTTGTCTATACATGACGCAGAGAAAAGCAACGCTCTGAAGCAATGCATTCTCACCTGTGTTTGTCCTCACAGTATTTCCTCTTTTATTCAGTTCCCAAGATCAAGGCTCAGTATCAAATGCAAAATGTTTAAAATAATATATTTAAGGAGGAGTGAAAAGCACAGCTACCTCCAACAGCTTCCTTACTTTTGAAAAATAGGTAGTTTTTATATAATTCCCTCACATATCTTACACAAAAAAATCCTCATATTTTGTAACCTTAGCAAAATCAAATTCCTCCTACCCTTGAGCAATCCTACAGGGAAACAAAAAGGGGAAAAAAAAACCCCACCCCAACATATTTGGAAAAGGCATCTTCAGTACTTCTTAAGCCGCTTAAAAAAAAAATTTGGTATCACAAAGGATACATGAAAAGTAACAAGCAGAGCAACAAGCAGAGCTCATCTGACTGCTTTTGTACAAAATAAAATGCTGAAGGTATTCTAGTAGGTTCATGTATGGTAAGATTTATTAAACAGTAAGGGAGAACTTTGTTCCCATTTAATATATTGAATGACCTAAGTGCAGGCAGCAAAAACCTTTCATCAGAGGGGTATTACAAAGACACCGATTTCAAATGCAAAACAGCAGCACTGGTACAAATGTGTTGGCTGCACTGTGCATGCTTTGTTATAACAGGTTACAGCAGCAGCTGTACCAACGCAAACATAAAACCTCAGCCATGTATAATTGAACACTTGCTGCAGTTAAGGTAGGGCAAGTCTAAAATAAACACACCACAATACAACACTTTAATATCATCTCTGCAAAATCCTCTCTAATTTCTCCTCTTAAGAAAGCACTGCTGAGGTCACTTGGCTTCTGTCCCTATCCCAAACTCTCAGCAATTCCAGTCCCAACAAAGTACTTCGGTTGCACGATGCAGGGGAGCTGGCTGAGAGCCGGCAGCCAACTCCTGCCTTGTTAGAGAAGGAAAGCATGGAGTGGTCACAAAGAGGGGGAAGAGGAGGGAATGAAAAAATAATTACCAAATAAAGGAGAAAGAAAAAAGAGATTTTACAAATCCCAGTTAGGCAGAGGCTGCACTTGGAGTAAAAGAAATCAAGCACACCTACATGAAACAACTGTACAGCCACTTAGCAGTGCATCCCCAAATCATAGCGGAGCCACATGTCACAGCCCTTCTTTTCAAACTTCGTTCTCTGGGCTACATCTCAGACAACAAATCCTGCCAGGAGAGGAAGAAAGGCACAAAAATCCAGGAGGATCTCTTTCTCAAGCCTTAGGTTACCAATTTCAGATGAGCATCATGCCAGGCAGATACGCTGGGACAAGAAGTCACAGCCGCACCGGTAAAGAAATCTCCTTGTCGGCTGTGCTCCCACCCGGCCCCACGGGTGACACGAAGAGGCTCCCGGGTGCGTGTTGCCATGGTGCAGCCTCCTGTAAGGAGATTAGGGGGGGGCCGGCAGCCGGGAGCTCCGCAGATGTGGCAAAGGTGACCTTTCCAGAAAGAAAGAAGTCTCTCCTCTTCCTTTCCTACAAGTTTAATGAGACCTGGACAGTTAAAGACGGCGGGAGAGAGCGAGGCATCTTTCAAGAATGCCTCCAAATAGCCTTCGGGGACAGGGTGAGGGCAAAAGGCAGGTACACACCGCAATTGTACTCCATGCCTCCACATCCCATCTTGCAAGTTAAATCTTTTAGTAGCATCTGTTCTGCTTCATTGGTCTTTTAACTAGTTACCTTTGAGCATTTTGTTTTGTTGCAGACCAGCTGGAGCATGGTTAGTTTTGTTGACTCAGGGTCCTGGGGCAGAGGAATGTCTATCTGTTCGAGCAATCCCTTGAAGTTACCATATTTATAACAGCTCAATAAACTGATTAAGTGGCTTAGAATTGGCACTTTATCTTCCATAAACACCACAGCAATGTCGTAAAGTTGTTGGTTAGATGCAACCACATGCATTTAGAAACGCAACTACATGCATTTGTAAGCACCACGGTATATATTTCACCTATTGCTAGATCTGCAAAGCAAATCATTGACTTGTGCCTAAATCAGCAGCATCCCAATCAATATAGGCAATAATTATACAGAAATAATAGTTCTCTGCTGCTTTAAAGCCTCATCTGATATTCTGAAGCTGTAAGTAACAATGAAATAAAATTGCTTGCTGGCTTCCCTTTTTGCATAGATGCCACTAACAACTTCCCAATGTCCAGCAAAAGGGCTGGATTAACAGGGTCTGTCTTGTGTTAGGTAGGAAGCTACTGGTAAAATGAGTATTGCTTATAGCCTCTGTTAAGAGAGAGGTAATCCCAGAGAAGCAGATTACTGTAAACACGAAGATCGCACATGCAAAACATGGGGGAAGGGTTGTTTGTACAAATCTGTTTCTGTTAAACAGCTCCATTAACTACACAAATCCTGTTTTAAATTACAATTAACCTCCAATGATCAACTTTTCTCCTGCTGCTTTTGTTATCAGCTACTGCACACAACAAAAAGATTGCAAAGGAACAACATAGAAGTTCAGAGCAAATAGTTACCAACAGCACCAAACAATTCTTACATAGGTATTCTCCATAATTTCTTTCCAGTAGGAAAAGCAGGTGGAGGAGGAGCACATCAGGGAACATTTTAAACTTCTCACCTCTTTTCACATGCTTTGGAGTACTGGTCTTCAGAGCTGCATAATTTCCGTCTAAACCAGAGCCCAGCCAATGCCCCAAACCACTGACCTGGCAGCAGCATGCGACTGCTACTGAAAAAGATCTCTTCAACAACACCATCTTGCTGGCCCAACCCCAAGCTGACCCTCTCTCCTTGCACACCATAATTCAGTAATTTTCCACTACAGGAAGATGTCGGTTGTAAGCCGGGAACTAGAAACCTCTGGCTTTCAGTGGCCGCCCATGGCACACAGCAGCCTATTAGTCAACTTCTATTATATTCTTCTGTCTATAAGGCATGTAGGACAAAGGGTTAAAATCCTAATTGCTCTGGTTATGAAGCTCTCCTGCTGATTTTGACCTATTTAAAAGCCAACCTACAAAGCACAAAAGACTTTCAATTACTGAGCTTACCAGGGAGAGCACTATATTGCTTGGAAAACAACCCTGTGGACATCAATAATCCAAAAGATACAAAATAAATGTATAGAAATGAACTACCAAGGAACAGAGTCCCATAACCTGTTCCCTTTACCAAACTGGTGTGAAGGCAAAGAACTCTGAAAAGAGTTTTTTGTTCAGCCCAAGCACCCGACTAAAGCCATGTCTCCACTGGTTTTACGCGACACTGTACGTCTGCATGCTTCAAATAATTCCAGCACAATACCCGTGTGTTTAGAGACACTCCCCGAGATCAGAAAGTTGAATTCAATACTTAGCCACTCGCAAAGCCACAGGAGAGAACTTGGACTGTAATGCAGTGAACTTTCTGCCCAGTGCTTCTATTCAAAATCCCAGCCCCGCTGAACTGGACCCTAACGTCGGCAACATCATCTGCAGTACAGGTGTGCTCTACCAGTGCTGCAGCATCAGGTTTCCCTGTCCAAGCGTTCATTTTGTAGGCACCACACCCCGCTTCATTTTCCAACTGCTAATTAGCAGAACATCTTATTACTTGGTCAACAATTCTACAAGTCTAACCAGTTT